AAAATTGGGGAACACAGGAGAAGGGGGCTCACTGGCTGAGTGGATGGCCCAGAAAGAGTCCGAACTTTATATTTACCACTAAAATGGTCCAACCCCAAAAAGTGTAAAGTTCATGAACTCAGGAAGTCAGGGGGGAACCAAGGGGAACACACGGTGTTGGAACCTATAGGAGTCCCTGGAGCTCGGGGAACACCTCCCGCCAAAGGACCCCAACACGGAGAGAAAGAAACTGGACCGAGACTTGCCCCAAAGGACCCAGAACTAAAAGCTGAGCACCTCTTGGGAAAAAAAAAGACACATGGGCCAAACATCGGACAAGCCAAAAGGTCAGATCCGGCCGATTCGCTTTGGTTGCAAGTGGAACTAGACAAACACTTGTGCTGTCCTTTCGGAAAACCCGCCCTTGGCCAAGAACTGGCACAAAACCAGTCCCACGAGAAAAAAAACAAAAAGACTTGACATGGTGCGGTTGTGTGTGTGTCCTTTCAGAGAAAAACAACAACTGGGTCTTCCTTCTCAAAGATTTGCTTCCCGCAAGCATCGGAGTCTCAAAAATGAGTCTGTGTGCGTTTGTCAAACTACCTGCATTTGGGCCAGAAGGTGTTTCGTTGCTTTCTGGTGCTTTCCCTAGCAGGCTGCAAAAAGACAGACCGTTCACAAAAACACAATCACACAGAGAAACTAGAAGAATGCTTGAAATGGTGTGTGCTGTTCTTTCTGTCGCTTCCCGAAAAAAACCTAGCAGAAAAGACACCCCCTCAGTCCAGGAACCCCCAACAACAGGTGCGTGGAAACGGAACCGGACCGGGGAACTCGTTTTTCAGAAACCAGAGATGGTGGGGGCATTCCCATATACGTGTCCTTTCTTAGTAAAATAGATGGGTGTTGTTTTGTTGGGGGGGAACCCTTGTTTTGGTTGTTTTAGAAGGGAAACCAAAGGGAAACCACAAATCTTGGGGGCTCCCCTATGTTAAGATGCGCCAAATTTTCAATGGGTTTCCCTGGTAAATGGGGCATAACACCTGAACCGATCATCATTCTATCCAAACTAACCTAAGAAGGGCACCCTGTGGTCAGGTCCATTGTTATAACTGGGGCAACCGTCCCCTATAACCAGGGTGAAAACCCACTTACTAAGTTGGTTGAACACTCAAACAAAGGGTCATTCCCGGATTCCCAGCTGAGAACCAGCGAACTCATCAAAAGCAAAAACAGTTCCCGTGTTGGGAGGGTTCTCAAAGTGATACTGCACAAATCAGATGCCTATCGGCGTGAAGCGCCGGGTCTACACGCTGACTTTTGCGACTGGGGAAAACCCGCGTAGCCCACGGTGCCCCTCACTTCACTGGCCGAGGTAGGCCTCCGTGCCCCATCATCAAGAATCCCCATCATCAAGAATCAAGAATGGTGTTGATTTAAAACAAGTCCAGTCGTGATCATATGAGAAGAGTGTTCATTCGTCATCAGTTGGGTGTCTTATTTGAGGGGAACCCCCCCCCAAAAAAAAAGAAGCCGGTTTTCGTTTGGTGTCCCTTTAAAAAACCAAACAAACAAATCGGGGCACCCCGAAAAAGACCGGGCGAATACCATTGGACAAAGCCCACCACGGGCTTCAGGGCGCAGGATTCCGTGCATCCGAAATCTGCGAAGCCCTGCAAAAAGTGAAGAAATGTTTTAGTGGTTTGATACGGAAACCCCCTTAGTTGGGTGTCAAAAAGTTGAAGTCCTAACATCCAAGCAAAATGCACCAAAGAACAAATCTGTCCGGTGGCACCCTACCAACAGGGGAGAATAACACATCTGACATTGTCAGCAGAGTCCTTTTTATTGCATATGGTCGGGCTGTTCAACTTGCATGAAGCGACCGGCAAAGCAAATGGAATCAGTACTGGTATGGGTAGCTTTGGACTAATCTGGAGGACTGTACTAATCAGGGGTGGTCCTCCTTTTGGTAAGGACATGATATCTACTCCGGGGGGATCCTCTCACTCATGTTGACCCCAGATTAATAAGCCCCTGTTTATTCATATGTGGGTGTATTCGGTCTTGGGGATTCATCACTTTTGGAGAGGAACACCCCCATAATAAGAAACTGGGGCGATGGGTCCAAAAAAATGGGCGCCCGAATTCATAAGTGCGCATAATTGTATGAAGACCCTCGGCTCCAGGGCTGTGGGAAATGACCACTGTGATACAAGAAAAAGGTCCCCCAAAAAACCCACCTCGCCATAAGAGGGGATTCCCTGGTATCACTCACTTGCCCAAAAGACCTGGAAATAAAAGGTTAACCTTTTGGGACCTTTACTAAAAATGGTTGCCAAACTTGGAAAACCAAAAGGTCAGATCCGGCCGATTCGCTTTGGTTGCAACTGAGATCACCGTGGTTGGAAAAACCCCTTGTGATCCCAGAACTTCCTCGGCGAAACATGGCTGGAATTAGGACCCCAGCAAAAAATACATATTTTTTGCCTGGTTAGTGGAACACGACAAAGGGGACCCCAAAAAGAGGAAAAAGGGGAGCGAATTCTGGGGAAGTAAACCTGCTCTCCGGCCAAGGCCCGGGCCATTTCCCTGAGCCGGTGCAGCCGGTCATCCTCCCGCTGGTTGAAGGAGCCCTGCACGACGAGGTCCGTTTTAAGAAGACTCAGCTGTTCAGTGACCCTGGAAAAAGGGAACCCTATTTCTGGGGCGTGGACCCTTTTTAGTGCAGCCACCAAAAAAAAGAAGGCAAAGGGGAGCCACATGGAGCCACTGAGAAGATGTCTTGGTGTGCTTTTGGATGCATCTGAAACTGGAAATGAGCTTCACCGGAAATGACGGCGACCGCCAAAAAATATGAATCCCTGAATGGGGGGGGCACCAAGGAACCCGGAGCCCTAGGGCTCTCCACCCTGAAAACTACATCAAGACTACACGCAAGCAACCAGGTGATATCTCCAGGACCCTTCCCTTCAGAGAGTGGGAGCCTTCCAACCGCATGGCTTCGGTTTCCCGTTGGTTTCCCGTAGCCAGCCCAAAATGAGAGCATATTTCAATCCAGCAGTGATAGATTCCTCTTATGTAAAGCCAGGGCAACATGAAATACTGAAATACCCTCCTTCGCGGGTCCCTAGAGAAAAAAGAACGACGCGCACATTGCAGCACAAAGCCCTTTTGACTTTGTTCGGGAAACCCTACCAGGTGTAAATCAGAGTGGTTCGAGGGGCAAGCCATCCATGGTAAAACACACACGTAAAAATGGGTGTCTTTTTGTTGGGGATCAACAAATTGTGGTATTGTTGGCTTGAGCTGCAAAAATACATATTCCATCTGCTCATGTCGTTCATGGACAAATAAACAACTTTTGTCTGATAGATTCCCTTCAAATTCAATCGGAAAAAACAAATACAAACCAGAGGTTCAAAGCAAATGCTGTTTTTGAGGGTACTCATTCAAATGGACACATCCGCCATGCTGGGGGGGGGGTCTCGGCGGAAAAAAAGAAGCCCAACAATATGGCAACGGTTTCCTCGTGGTTTCCCGTTAAAGCAACTAAACAAAGGGTAGCGACAGACCCAAAAGGAAAACCACCATTTTGGGGGGTTCCCTAACACTGGACACACCCAAATGGAAGATGCAAAAACTAAAACCATGTAAGGGGTGCTTTAGGAAGGTTTCTGAGAACCACCCAGTTCCAGCACTTCCAGTCAGTAGCAAATGGAAGCATTTGGGGGGCTGATCCGGCCCCCAAATGACCATGGGTAACTTTTCCTATGTGGTTGAAGTATTAAATCTTTGTCTCGTGGTTGTTCGTGGTCATGCCATCTATCACGGACCTTTTCTCAGATGCCCAGGGGATTTCCATGGGAAACAAACGGGCATCCTTTTTTGGTTGCGTTTGTTAAGGGAACGTCCTTCCCCCCAAACAAGCTGGATCTCAAGCAGCGGAACCCACGGGACAACTGGGTTTTGATCGACGCCCATCTCAAATCTCAGAACCATCAAGGTGGTTTAGAGGTTAGGGCTGGGTTTCCCATTTAGAGGTTAGAGGATTCTGGTGGGTTAAGGGTGGTTAGGGGTGGTTTAGAGATTGGTCCACGGGAACCAGGGCTTATCCAAATCCAAACCACAAATCCAAACCGAGCGACATCGCACCAGACATCTCCCAGGCACCCAAAATTCACCCAAACCACCTCCAAATCACCCCCAAGCCAACCAAAACACACACCCTAACCACACCCTAACCCGCACCCAACCAAAAACACCCACACAAAAAACACACCCCAAAAACACACCCAAGGGGACCTCGTCTCGGCATCGACCCCTTCGACTCGGCTCGACGAGTCGACTCGTCGATCCTGGGCTTCCTTCAGCCGCCGGATCTCCTCGGGGTCGTCGGTGCCGTGCTGCACCGTGTCCCGGGACACCTCGCGAGCGGCACCAAAACGCTTTGGGGCCAAACCCCCTGGGGGAAAAAAACAAAACGAAAAAAAACCCGCGCCAAACCCGGAAAAAGAAAGAAAGAAAGAAAGAAAGAAAGAAAGAAAGAAAGAAAGAAAGAAAGAAAGAGAAAACCCAAAACCGCAAACACCGAAAACCAAACCACCCATGTTTGGTTGAAGTTTGGAGGGTTGATTTATCCAGGGACGCCTCGCAACAAACAGGAATTATTGGGCACAGAACAATTGGAGAACTCGGGGCGAAGGGCCGAGAGCGTTCTCGGCAAAACAAACGGGAATCTTGCGTGTGTAGTCCAAACCCTTCGAACAAGGAAGAAAAGCGAGGGTGTTTTTTTGGCAACCCCCAAATTGTTTTACTTGGTTTCCGTTTGCCACCGTTATGCTTCTGGGTTTTGACCGAAATGGTCCTCTAGGGAGTCACCTCAAGGGGTGGGAACACTGTGAACAAAATCCGTAAACTATCTTTACAAGAGATGAATCAGTTTGCAGGTTTTCCCTCTAGGTAAGGGAATGGCCGGGCAGCGCTTCGGCGCCAAACCTTCGGGAGAATTCATCGCACGAGATGTGCAAAAGTTGCGGGAAAATGGCTAGAACACCCAAAAAACTGAGTGGGCTTCCTTCCCCTTCTGTAGCTTCTTGGCGTTGATATTGCTCGGAAGATACGCGTTTGTGCAAGCCGGTGCAGCAACACACACACACACACACAAAGCTCAACAAACACATACCACCAAGCGCTTTGCTCATCCCGAACATGCGGTTGCATGTGCAGTACTCCACTTTGCAGATTCAGGGTTGCGGAAACGTGAGAAGTTGCCCTTCCCAGTGATCGCAATTAGCAGGTAACTTCGGGAACCACCGGTTAAAATACAAGAAGGAAAACTGATGGTTGCCTACTATAGTGGTATTGTTGACCCTGTATTAAGAACCCCGTCCTATTGATAGCCTCCAAAAGTGGTCTGAATCCCCACTAAAAGGAGACACCCCCCAGAATCAACCAGGGGTTTATGAATCTGGGTTTCCACTAAACAAATGCTCTTCCAACACTACATATTGGCTTCGAACTAAAAATACTCCACCGCCAAGGAATGCAGGAAGGCTGGGACTGGGTCAACATCAACTGGGATGGGTCAAATTCAGAAAAAAGGGCCAGGCCCACCTAAGACATCCAAGCAGATATCAAGCCCCTGCGCATGAGTGGTTTGTCTTTTGTTCGGGGACGCCCCGAAAATGGAGTTAGCGGTTCGGTTTTCCTTTTGGTTACAAAAAAAGGTACCCTCAAAAAAGTCAACCTTCAATGAAAGGCCCTGTCAAAAGTGCAACAATTGTTGGGACCCCTAGAATTGAGGTTTCCGTTTGTTTTTCTTTGAAACCATCCATACAAAGGGTCATGTTTCCTCATTTGTGGTTCACACAACCGAAAACAGCAAGTCTTCTCCACCCCCAACAGATTCCCCTCATCTCCTGGGGTGGAGGCAAGTTAAGCACTTCGTAGCCTTTTTAGAAACTAACATTTCAGGTCTGGCTTTTAGCCCATGGAACATCTCAAACAAAATCAATGGAAGTCCGAGAAAATCCCCAGAATGTCCAGAATGTTGGCGGAACCTATAGAAGTCCCACTGGACATTCGTGGACGTCGGAAATGTGCGTGGCACCCAGCGAAATTCCCACGCAACAAACTTTGGAAACTTAAAGGAAGCTCGGACATTCGCTTTGAATCCCATGAAAATCCCACGGAAGGCAACTGGAGCTTTGTGCACCAGCGGGCCAACACAACCCGACCAGTCCAAATTGAAAGCATCGGAAGGCCGTCTTTGGGGCCCGGGCTCCCCATGCGGTCTTGCCTCGAGTTGGAAGACTGTTCGACGGCCCCAAAGGAAGTCAAGCCGGGGTGAACAGAGAACTTGGCATGGAAAGTTGCGTGCGATGAATGCCTCGTGGCTGTGCGTGGGTTTTAGCATGGGTTTGGGTCGCGCGACCGTGGGGGAGATGTTTGTGCGGTTTGTGGAGGCGAATTTGTTGAGGCTTGCCAGGTTCCAAGACCCTGCCACGTCGCCAGGTCGGCCTTGCAACCATAAGGGACATGTTTTGGTCTTGAGTGTGCAGTCTTATTGCCCAAGCTGAGACGCTTTACCCGCAAACTCACGGGTCAAATCTTGATAGATGGAGATGTGGGAAGGTTCGCCCCAGGCTTCCAAGCAAACCATGTAAGGTGATTCCAACTCCCTTCTGGTTAGGCGAGCCCTTCACAGGGATGGATCGCAGGCTTCCCTACGCCAGGTTGAAACACGCGAAACACCTGCCATATATGTTCGAAACCAGCTCACGCATTTCGGTGACGACTCACTCACTCAAACCAAAACACAGTACCTCAAAGACAGCAAAAAAACGTACTGGCCGAGGCGGGCAACGCGAAGTGCTTGATTCCCTTTAAAACCAACAAGGGAACATCAAACATATTATTCAAATGAAAGTTGCGGATAAGGACGTCGCATCAATTCGGCGAGAAACAGCCCAAACCTTATTTTAGTTTGCACTGGAGGTTTCTAACCCTGATCTACTACAATTCAACAGGACATGTTTGCCTGAGGGCCTGCCGTCGATCCTTCCAAAAACAAGCAGAGATCAGAGGTTCCCTAAAAGTGGGAGATGCAATATTTACCCCAAAACCTGAAACTACACATACGATTGTATCGATTTCGGCGTGTCTGCTTCAGGAGTTGGACCCCCCAAAATGGGCGGTGTTTCTTTTAAACCACGAAAAAGGGGTACCTGGACCCTCAAACTACCCATAAAAAAGGGATATATCACCCCAAAATTTTGGGGGTCAAACCCATTTTTAAGTTGGAATTTTGAGGGTCCAGGTACCCTCAAAACGACAGACCCATTTAACATGTCACCGAAGGCTGCACACCCGGACGGCCAAATCACCTCCGGCGAGAGAAATCACTGGGGGGGCCCACCGCCCATCGCCGGAGGATGCAACATGGCACCGTTGCACCCGAGGGAGACCAGAAGCAAAAAACGAAGAAACAAAAACAAGAGGAAGAAATGCAGCCAAGGGCTAGAGACCACACATGCGTCGGAATGAAAGGCTCAGGGCTTATCTCGTTAAGCCACTATAGCGCTATAGAAGGGAACCAACAAATGTCCTTCTGGTATATCTCATGGGTGGTTCCCTTGGTTGCCTACACAGGTCAATGAAATCACTGGGATGGTTTCCTCTAGGGCTGGAAGGACTGAGTGGCTATCAATTCTCCACGGCTATGGGATGCTTTGGACTTGTGGCAACAAGCGTTCGCAGCTGCAAGCCGGGACGGGCGGACGATAGAAAGAAAAAGGCCGAATGGTGGCTCGTGCCTCGCAGAACGCCAAAGAGCCATGCTCGAAACTGATGTGGGGGTGTCTTTTGTTTGGGGGTACCCCTTTCTTGTCGATTTTCAAGGGAAGCCAACGAGGTACCCCTTTCTAGTCGTGTGTAACTGGAAACCCAAAGTAACAGCGAATCCATTTAGTCAACCCACTTAAAACGCAGAACCATACTGTGGATGGACAAAATCCTGCACCACCTAAGAGACCCTGGAATGATCATTCCCCTGTAAATACGAGCAAATAATGGTTTCCCATGGAATCAAAGTGGTGCGAAATGGATTTTGTCCATCCACAGTATGTGCCACTATCATACCTGTGAATTCCGTCATAGCCAAACATAGATAGAACCGCTTGGGCTTTCGTCAAAACGACACCCAGGCAGGCCATGCTCCGTCTCGGTCTACATAGGTCCATGAGCTTTGGGTGCAAACGGACTGAAGAGTATTCTAGTTCCGAACAAGTGAGTTGGCAAAAACAAGCCCCCGAAGTTGTTGGGAAGCCCGCCCAAATGGTCTAAACCCAAGTGAATAAAGTTAAGTTCAGGAACTCAGGAAGTGAGGTATCGAATGCCAGCGGACAAATCATGCGGAGCAAGCAAGCACCCTGGCACCCGCACAAACCCGAACCCAGCCTCCACATCCCCCATCTTGAAGCACACTCCCCAGATCCGCACAAATCCCAGCCCGAACAAAACCGAACCTGATCATAAATCATGCCGAAAGCGATCCCACGTTATCCAAATACAAATTCTTAGCTCTTGCCCAAATGCCACACCCACCTGAACTTGCCTTCAGCCAGCCCCTAATTAATTTGTCCTAAACAATCCCTAACCTAAAGCCGATCAACCAGTAGCATCTGTTTAGTCCAACACAACTGAAAGTTGCATTCCAGGTCCTCCAGTAGAGAGGCTAGAATAAGGGTACCCTTTTTTTCCGTAGTCTATTTTAGTAGGGGAACCCTCCCAACAAGAAAAGGGGTGAGAAAGGGGCACCTAGCTGAGGGGCCAAGAAAAGGAACCCACAAGGCATCTTCTTGGCGCCCCAAAAAATGAATCAACCGGTGCACCACAAGGCGAGCTCGGCCGGTTAGGGCGAGGTACTCATCCACGGATTGCCTTAAGAAAACACCTGAGTCACAATCAAAACCCGGACATAAAATGGTGCACCCAGAACCATGTCAAGAACTAAGAAGGCGGTCGCAGCTATTTATGGCAAGGGGATCGTCCCTTACTAACCTTCATCTACCCGAATCAGTTTTGATTGTGGCTCACCTGGCTTTGACCCCCAGATCTGTCAAGTGCAGAGCTCCAATGAACACGACACACTCGGATGGTCCTGGATCCATTTACCGTCCCTGGTTTTGTAGGTATCCCAGGGAGCCAGACACACTCCACCACACTTGTGGCAAGATCACACAGACCCAGTGGATCCCTGGCAATATCCAATACCCCTGAGAATCTATGTTCCTTTTGGCCGAAGGCTGCTTCCTTTGGCTAACTGCAAATGGTGCTGGTTTCATTTTTATGGATTAAAGAGAAAGCAAGTAGCAACCAAATCCATGTTAGGGGTGTCCAAAACATCACTTCCCGAGTGGAAGGGCCTAAAAACTCGTTTTGTTTACTGCTAGAATGGTCGTCCTAAAAAGTTTAAAGTGGAACTTAGGAAGTGATAATCCTATAACAAGACACTTCTACATGGATAACGTCGTATTTCTGATTGCATCTCCAACTTTTGATGGGGATAGTCCACTGACCCCTGCTCTTGGTGATTCCCAGCCATCCCCGAGAAAAAAGAAAAAAAAGAAAAAAAAACTATCCTCCCACCAATTATCATGGAACCCAAACCAGGTCGCCCGAAACGTCAGGTTCCATGTTAATTGGTGGGAGGGTAACAGAAAGCCAAAGAACCAAACCGCTTGAATTGTTTGGCTAGGTCCTCCGGTAGAGAGTTAGAACAAGAGTACCCTTTTTTCTGTAGTCAAATTTAGTCGGGGAACCCTCCCCAAAAAAAGGTAAAAGGGCACTACTGCGGGACCTAGTTGGGCTCCAAATCCCCACCAAACAACACACCTCATTGGAATCACTGGGGCTGAGGGTGGCAGATGGCTGCAGCGCCTCTTCTCTCTCAGCGCGGTGAATTCGCTGCGTCCGGGGGAGTTGTTCCGCGGCTCTCGTGATTTGCCCTTGTGATTTGCCGCCGCGCGACGTGGGGGGATCTCCTTTTTTGAGGGTACCACTTGGTTGGTCGGTTTAAACGGAAACCATACCTAGGTCCTCCAGATTTGAGAGGTTAGAAGAAATTTCTGTAGTCTACTTTAGTGGGGGAACCCTCCCCCAAAAAAGTTGGGAGAAGGGCACTGCTGGGGGACCTAGGCAATTGTTGGGGGGTCACCAAAAAACAAGGTGAGACCCGCTGACCAAAATGTTACGCTCTGGGGACTTGCTGGTTGGACTTCGCAGGGAACTTGCTGGTTGAACACAACGCAGCTTCAACCAAATGCCGTGAGGTCGACCACGGAACTTAGATGCAACCGTGCAACCATGACTCACAGGAGCCTTCACCATGGCACATATGGCTATGCCTTGTAGCTGGACCCTGAATTCTGGGCTTCCATCAGACTCCGGAAAAAAAAAGACAGAAACTCACGTGCCGGAGATCGCCTTTTGCAGGGAATCAGATGCAAACTTTGACCTCAGGTTTACCATGGTGTCCCCTTATCTGCAAAACTGGTCTGCATGGAGCACGGGGTCAAGCAAGGCACAGAGAATTTCAGTGAAACCCATGCGGATGGCCTTTTCTGGCCCAAATGAGCCCGGCTGAGTGGGGCGTGTGCACGCAGAACCCAGTCTTGGAGTCTGGGCGGAAAATTTTGCAGCCAGAATCCAGGCACGGCTCGATATCTCTGTTTGCACCGCAAAAGCCAATTTTACTGGGGATGTGATCTGGACTCAGCAAATGATGGGAACATCACGCCTCCCACTAGGGGAGCAAAGGGATGTGAGATAACTCGTAGCCATAGAAAGCAGCACTTTAAAAGGGGGGGATCCCTGAGAGCGACTGTCCTTTGATGAATTCTGCCACCTTTGGAAAAAAGCCACATCTCCTAGTCCTAGGTCCTCCAGTAGAGAGGTTAGAATAAGGGTACCCTTTTTTCTGTAGTCTATTTTAGTAGGGGAAGCCTCCCCCAAAAAAGAGTAAAAGGGCAATACTGGGGGACCTAGAGTCTAAATTGGATTCCAGAGCAAGGGCTCGGTTTTCCTGCATCAACCATGGAGTGGCCTCCTGGCGATAGGCTATAGGTCGTAATCCGAAACAACCAGTACGGAAACACGGAAACGGCCTTTGGGATGATCTTATGGACAAAGGAAAACTCATTGGGTTGATCCCAGGATCCGGACTGAACAAAAAGCCCTGGATCGATCCAGTTGAGTTGCTCGAAGTCTTTTTCAACCAGCAACTGTGACTGTTTTCTGGGTCAAGTGTTCTTTTTGTCTGGGAAGAATTAACCGACAACTTGGCGATGGCCCCCTTGGATTCATAGGGATACCTGCGCACCCACAAATCAGCGGGCCCGCGATAGATTGCCCCACGCGGCCACGCGACCATTTTCAGGAAGGCTTGTAGCCTGGCAGCTGTTTAGCGGCGAGCTGGAGGTACTCGACCCATTTTCGTCCCTGGACGCTCAAGCTAGTGGGATCTTGCGCCATAATTTGGGGCAACATCACACTGTCCAAGTGCATCCGGTAATGTTGACCCAGGATCTAAGTAGAACCCGTCCCATTAGTACGGGGGCCGTTGCCTCCAAAAGTGGTTTAAAAATCCAACCACTAAAACTCACCTGCTGAGTGGATGGCCCCAAAAAAGGTCCAAACTTTATATTTGCCACTAAAATGGTCCAACCCCAAAAAGTTTAAGGTTCAGGAACTCAGGAGGTGAGAAAAGGAATTGGACACCCCCCAATCCACATCAACCAGGGCTTCTGCTTCCGGGAAAACGCTATAAGCTCAGGGACCAAAAGGCGAAACCGGCCAGCCGCTGTGCGATCCCTCCCGCAAAACAGACTTCGCTTCGGCTCGTAGCTGCAGCATACCCGCGCCCTCCGAATGTACTGATTTATTTTGTACACGTCCGAACAAAACAACATGGTGTATGAACACTTTCTAGAAATTTGGACGGAAATTGCCTTTAGCAGGCTGTGAGCGTTTGTGGAGTTCCTGAATGTACCTAAGCACAGATTGCAATTTGTATGGCCCGTCATCCAGGTCATTTGTGTCCATTAGCTGCGGGGCAACGTGTGACAGCTTCCTTGCCGCTTCTGCAAGTTTGCAGTTTTCTCAGCCAAAATGCAGAAACCGGAAATGCACGGAAATCGGCGGGAAATGTACGGAAATCAGCGAGACAAGTATGGACATCTGCAGAAAAAAGTATGGAAATCAGCCGAGAAAGTACGGAAATCAGCGGAACATTTGCTTGAGGGAAATGCGCACCTTTTATCCTTGGTGAATTGCACACATTCAATTGGGTTTTTTGGCGCATGACAATCTCCAGTGCCGGGGCTGGAGCTGAACGTGAGATTCTTGCAGAAAAAAGTATTTGAATGCTGCCGTGTCTTTTATTGTAGGCAGGAAAATACAGTTTTTTCTCAAACGTGTGGAATTCACGGAAATGCACGGATATGGCAAAACAAGTGCCC